GAAAAGACTAGGGTATTGTAAGACCCCAAGCCCGGGGAGCTGCCAGCTCACTGGTTTGGCTAGGGTTCTTTAATACGTGGAGATAGCATCTAGAGAATAAGTCACGTATGGGCGATGAAGAACTGAGGCTGCACACACCATAATTCGGTTTTTGGGATTTTCCTCAGAGCTCTTTCTGCATTCCCCTTTTATTATCCTCTTCAGGTAAACAGCACCTGGTGTTGCCAACTAGAATTCACAAAACTTTGGTGACCTGATGTCTTGATTCCCCCCCCCCCCCCACACTGCCATTCTGTGACTGTTTTCAGTGATGGCATAAACGATGCATGCATCATGCTATCATGCAGACTGTTGAGTGATTTTCCACTTTGGGAACACAGCACTCTCTTTCTCAGAACATGGTTAAGGTCGAAATACTGCTTTTGGATTCTAATGAACTGAATGCAAGTGCATCTGGCTCAGCTTGTTCCCACAGCCAGGGGCTCGTTCCCAAGAAATTTCTTTATTCATTTAGGGGAGCAAATAAAGAAACTTGGCCGAAGATCAAAAGGACACCACACAAGGTAGACAAAATGTTTCACCCCAGTACCGACCCAGCACATAGTACTAATCCACAACCCTTAAGTGACGCAGCCTTGTCTCGGGACCGGGAGACAGACCAGCGACGGGGGTTCTTGCCTTGCCTGCAGATAGTAAGGTGGCAATAGCAAGTGCAGGCAGGTTAGGTTCAGCTATCGTGCACAGTGCCCCAAAAAGAGAGACACAGACACGACATGAACACCAGGCCAGCCAAAAGCTGATCCGTTTATTAAATAAAATGGAGGGGTTTTTATACCCCCTGAGGGAAGATTAATCTAGAAAAAGGGTGGAACGCAGGTGGAGCATGCAAATCCGCTACACGTAATTGGGTGATATCTAATACATAAACATAATGGGGAGTGAACATGGGTGGAGAGAACTAGGAGTAACCCGATAGGACAGTACCGCATGGTAGACTAACCAAGAACACGCTGTATCCATGCCTGTCAGGCACTGAGTCCATGAAGGGAGAAGGGTTTTGGCGGGAAAAGGCAACTTAATAATTAGGTTTTAATAAACTTAACCACTACAGACAGTCTTTTCAGGCTTATTGAGGCTAATCAAAGGTCTTAACCATCTTATTTCTCCGCTCCTCGAATGTTGTTTCAACTTCCATAGTGTTTTTCCACTTCTCAAAGGCATAATCCATATCTTCATAGTCATTTTCACCCCCAACACTTAAGTCAAAATCCAGTCAATCCACAACACTTAAATTAAGTTTCCCCCTGTGGGCTCCAGGGACCTGCCATGAGGGATATGTGAGGGAACTGAGGTTCCATTTCTCCACAAGGAAAACGGCCAGTGATGGGGCAAAGTGAGACAGTTCCAGGAGAAAGGAATCCTTCAGGAATTTAAGAGATGGTAAATAGTTCTAGTAAAAAAAATTAGAAGAGGGGAGAGGAGTCTAAAGACTGCACTCAGAGCATATCTCCTGCCAGTCCTGTGGGGGTGATGCTCAGAGACTGGGGACAAGAGGGAATACCTTGTATCCAGGGGAAAGACAAAAGGAAAATTATATGATATTGTATGTTTGAGGGGACTTGAGTGGTTCAGTCCTTTATATTTGCTGAAATATGGGTCATCAGAGGATTGGATTTGTCAGACTCTAAATCTGTATGTGAATGCTAAGAGACCTTTTGACCAAGAAGAAAGTGACGATGCCTCCTGTTGGAACGGGTACCTGTCTGGGTTAAAAATGTAAAGGAAAGTAGGGAAGAGAGAGAAAAAGGGAAAATCCCTAGTTCTAGCACAATCACATCGATGTTTCCTTTGCGAGAGGTGCCAATATTCCGAGCACCAGGGCGGGTAGGATTTGTCGATGTACCCCTAACAAGTGTACAGGTTAGAGAATTTAAAACGGAAATAAGTCATACGTTAAAGGACCCTCTTAGGTTTGTCAGAACAATTAGACCAGTTTTTAGGTCTGAGTATCTACAGCTGGGAGGAAATACAGTGCATTATGGAGACCTTATTTACCCCAGAGGAAAGGCAGATGATATGGACTGCAGGAATAAGGATTTGGGAAAGGGAAAGTCCTCCAAATATTCAGGGATAAGTCCCTGGTGATGAGAAATTTCTCATAGTGCAACCTAATTGGGACCAGAATATGACTGAAGGGAGAAATAGTATGTCTGATCACAGGAGGCTGGTAATTAGGGGAATAAATGAAGTGGTGCCAAAGGGGCAGAATTTTGAGAAGGCATTTGAAAACAAGCAACAAAGAAATGAGTCACCTACTGCGTGATTGCAGAGGCTCAGAAAGAATATGCAGCAGTATTTGGGAACTGATCCGGAGAGAGATGCTGGTCAGGAATTGCTAAAAAGGAACTTTGTCACTAAAGCCTGGCCTGACAAAAAGAAGACGTTAGAAACAATAGAGGACTGGAATGGTAAGGGATTGAAAGAGTTGCTGCAGGAATCTCAAAGAATATATGCTAGAAGAGATGATGAAAAGCAGAAAAGTAAAGCTAGGCTGATGGTGGCAGCAGTGGACCAAGTGATAAAATGCAACTCGGGAATGAGGTTGGGAGAGGAAGGGAATTGTGCAAGGGAAGGAAAAGCATAATTTTACGGGGCCCTGGGGAGGGGATGGGAGTTAGCCACTTGGCATAGAGGTTTTTGGGGTGGTACATACTTTTGAGAAAATCTGGAAGGAACATAGATTAACCTCCTCTACAGAGAAGGAATTAGTACATGAGTAGCTGGTCTTGTAAGTTCTGGAAGGCCTTGATCTATCTGTAGGAGGTTGCTGTAGTCCATGTAATGGGACATCTGAAAGGAAGGACTCTAGAAATAAGGGGAAATCGTTTGGCTGATAAATGATCTAAGGAGGCCACTAGGAAAGAAGAAGTAAAAATGCTGGCCTTAATACCTTGCAGTAAAACTAGAAATGTAAATCTCCACTGTTTGCCCAGGAAGAAGAAGAACTCTTACAAAGATAGGGGGGGGGTGAAAGGACCCAGGAAAGGAAGTGGCTCTTACCAGATGAAAGGCAAATACTGAACAAAACTGTTACTAGAGAAATATTAATTGTTACTCCAAGGAACACACTGGGAGGAACACAAGCAGAGGAAGAACCCTAGCTCTTAAACCTTTTCAAAGTATACAAGTAAACTTCACCAGATTCCCTAACATGCAGCAATGGAAACATCTCATTATAATAGTTGGTCACCTTACCCACTGGGTAGAGGCTTTTCCTGCTGCACCCACTACTACCTTGTGGCTAAAATCCTGTTAGAACAAATCATTACCAGATATGGAGTAATTGAGAGAGTCTCTGATAAAGAAACTCATTTTACTTCAAAGATTTTACAGGCGGTGTGTGCTGTATTAGGCACAAATTGGAGTTTTCATACTCCCTGTGTGAGGATAGAATACCCTTTTTGCTGGAAGACTTTGTTACAAAGAGGCAGAGTTATTGCTTAAGAAGGCTTTCTACCGAAAAGGTGACTCTTTCTCAAAGGTAGTTTCAATGCTTCCTCCCCTCCCTGCACGGCAAGAGAAGTTCTCAACCTCTTTCTCTGATATGTGAGAGGAGGGAGATAATACTTACAGAAATGCTACAGGGCCGCTGTGGCCTGGGACGAGTTAGGGGGGCCAGCGATGATAAAGCTCGAGATCGAACAGGAGGTTTGCCTTTTCTCCCTGGGTCCTGGTGCTTCAGTAGCCCTGTGAGGTATTTTTAAGTTTCTTGTGTTCTGGCCTTCTAAATAAACTTTTGAATTCTTTCTGCTGCCTTGCCATTTCTGGGGATACCTTCATATCTTACTTTACACCCTGGCATCCTCAGAGTTCAGGACGTGTTGGGAGGATGAATACTGCTCGTAAAACCCATATTACTAACTTAATAATTGAAATTAGACTACCATGGACTGTTTGCCTTTAGCATTACCAAGAATTAGAACTGCTCCAAGGAAGGATATAGGAGGGTCTCCTTATGAAGCGCTATTTGGGCTACCTTATCTGGGAAGGGACAAAGGGTTGCCAGTTCCTGAAACAAATGACCTGTATTGCCAGAATTATTTGCAGGCAATTGCACTCTCTCTTGCAGATCTAAGAAGGGGCTGTTGCCCCAAACCTCACCTCTGGACTTTTACATGCATCAGGTAACTGGGTGCTGGTAAAATCCTGGAAAGAGGACACTTTGACACCGTCATGGGAAGGTCCCTTCCAAGTACTCCTGATGACTGAGCTGGCAGTCTGCACTGTGGAAAAAGGGTGGTCACACGCATTTTCCCAAAGAGTGGACAGTGGTACAGGGAAGTAACCCCCTGAAGTTAACCTTAAAACAATGATCTGTACAAAATAGTCAAGGGCAAGAATGGATTGACCTTGTGTTTTACCACCGAGAAGACTTCCACTCCACTGTGGGTTGCAACCCCTCAGGTGTTGAGTGGTGGTGGAAATACATGTCATACCAGACCTTGATGAGGAAAGAGGGAGAAAATTAATAGCCTAGATGGTATGGTCTGGATTAAGGTCCTAGTCCTAATTAGCCCTTTTTTAACTGACCCTTGCACCCCTTGATGCTGTGAGACCTTGGAGGTTGCTGGAAACAGTGTTACGGCTTTCATGCCTCACCTCCATCTTCCTGCAGCATGTTTATTGGAATAAACCCACAGAATGTCAGGAAGGGATATGAACTTATTGGATGGTCCGAAACTTAGGAAGCAACTATGGATCCTGGGGAGGATGATATTGTCCCAAATGAGAGCCTTACTTTTGCAAAGAGTCAAGAGGAGTACGATAATCTAGCAGCCTCCTTCCAGGGAATGGTGAAAAAGTAAATGTTGGAAAAGCAAAAAAAGGAAAAGGCAAATGAAGATCTTTGCACCCACTAGCCACCCCCAAATAGTTCCCCGTTGTCGGCCCCAAATAACATCTCAATATATGAACAACTATGAAGGAGATTTCCGAAGGGATTAGAGTTCCGTGGGGAAAAATTTGTTTGTAAGTTTAGCAGAGAGAATAGCTAAAGAATTGAAAGTCTCTAGTTGCTGGGTGTGTGGGGGAGCCTTGATGAGTGAAGCATCATGAAGTCAAGGGAAAGATGTGGAAGAAACAGGCCGTGGTTTATGTATCTTCCTGTCACTACTTTCATTAAGCATTGATACAGTAAGCCTTTGTTTCTCCCGTGCTTCTTCTCCAAAGGCAGCACTGTTATGTCTGTGATGGCATAAGAAAGATGTATTTTTGAAAGAACGTTGTATCAAATGCCTCCTGAAGGCCCTTTGGATAATAACTGCTGATACCTCCTCTTGTTTTCGTTTAAGAGTGGAAGAAATTGGATTTCCAACCACAGGATTTTTTTCCACGAATAATTCAAGACTGTCTACATGTCCAAACTCTTCTAGGACCCTTTTAGTGAAAGCATGCAAGATATCCAAGTGGTGGATCTTATCTCCACTAAATATAGGGAGGTCCATGGATATGAGCTGAATTGTATTGGGCTTAGGAACACGCAAAGGTTCTACCAGAGCATCTGCAAAGTCTGAAAGGGCAGAATAGTCAATAAACTCTGTTGCCAGAGGATCAAATTTTCCCCATGTCTCATAAAACAACTCAAAATCATAGTCAGAAAGAAGATACGTGCTTTCTTCAGTGGCAACATTGAAGTTCTCTAAAATGACAGCTATGTACATATTTACAACAATGAGAAATGATATAATGACATAGCTTACAAAATATAAAATACCAAACATTCCATTTGTACAATCAATCTTCTTATCCTCCTCTATGTCTAAGTTGGGAGCACACATACCAGATTCACTTAACAAAGGGACCAGAAGAGTATCCCACCCAGCTGATGTTGTAATTTGGAAGAGACAGAGAATGCTACCAGAAAAGGTTTGGAAGTTGAAAATGTCATCAATCCCACCTTCCCAGGGAAGACACGCAAAGTTTGCCATGCCCACAATGGCATAAATAAACATAATCACAAAAAGCAAAAGGCCAATGTTGACCAGTGCAGGAAAAGACATCAGTAATGCAAACAGAAGGGTTCGAATTCCTCTCGCTTTTCGAACCAGTCTCAGGATTCGGCCAATTCGAACCAAACGAATGGTTCTCAGAACTGGTGGAGGGAAGAATTTTTGCAAGGCTTCAGAAACTCCAATACCTTTGAAGGGAGAAAGAAAACTAAATGTTATCAAACCATATTAGTCAATTTTACATCTGCCTTGTTATATTCTGTGCTTTATGTATCAGAAGTAACACTGACCATATTACACCGCTTTCCACACAAACATCATCAATACTGCACCTGCTTACAAAACAGCTTGGGAAGACAAAGACAAATTGATATTTCAGGATTAAAGAGTTATCAAGACTATGCTTAGTTTGGAAGGTGCATCCTCCCTGATTTCTCTAACTCAGAGGGGTGAAGGTAGGCATTCATTGCTCAAGTACTTAAAAATCCTTTTAGTTCTCTTCAGCTCCCGTGCTGTAAGTTATGGGGATTGCCTCCTAGCTGTCATCTGCTGCTTCTTTACAGGCCTGATCACATGCTAAATGTGAGGGTTTGATTAATGCTTGGTACTTGAAGGAGAGCAGAGAAGACCAAGAGGATTATAAAGAAAAACTATCTTTTAGTATTTATCCCCCATTACACCTCATTCTTTGACCCTACTAAGAGAGTAATGGTACAGAGCAATGCAAATGATTACAAGCAGAGGAGTTAAGGAGTCATCATTTTCCTGGGTTGCACAGGACAGCAAAGGGTTACTGTGCTCAGGCATGAAACAGAGAACCCAGAGCACTTTGTCTTTCCTGTCCTTTATTCTGTGCTATAACCTGAGCCTGAATGGGAAGCACAGACCAAATAAACTGTACAAGAAACTAGAGCTATACATGACCCTTTGTAGAGGAAATGATCCACATCTAGTCTTATTTGCAAAGCCAGAAAACCCCAAGACAGTTTAAATGAGACTTTTCACAGTCACAGATAGTGTCCCAGATTGAGAATGGTGCTGAGCAACTACATTTTCCTGAGCTTTCTAAAACAGCAATCTGGATCTGCCTTCTTCAAAGGAAGTCCTGGTGAAATAAATAAATCTTTCTCATTTCTCATGCAAATGCATTTTTACATGTGAATTGACTTTGTGAAAGTGAAACAACTCACTGAGATAACGTTGAAATGGAAAGCATAAAACCAGTCATACAGTAATTTATATTCAATAACTTAGAGAAGATGTTAATGAATTAAATTCCTATTCTGTAAATTAATAAAACACATACTTAAAAAAATAAAAATTAAAAACTCCAGTTACCTTTTGGAAAATATATGAAAAGTTACCTTTTAGAAAATATATGAAAAAATATAACGGAAAACAAGGAAGGAATTCAGAAGGAATGACTTAGCATATACTTTGAAAAACTACAGTGGATCTGGAATTTGTTTATGAAATCCATGTAAATGGTTACTTCACACTGAAATTCGGCTCAATATTGGTATGACACATTACCTGATTTAGTGATTGGTACTTACTGACTATTGAAAGGACCACAACACTAAAATCAAATAAGTTCCAGATGCTTTTGAAGTAGTGCTGTCTTAAGGCCAGTATTTTTATGGCACATTCCGCAGTAAATATAGCCACAAAAAAATAGTTGATTTTATTAAGAACTTCCTTGGTGCCTCCCTGGTTATTTTCTGCCATCATAACAGCCGTGTTTAGGCAGATCAAAATCACAATGGTATTGTCAAATGCTTTGTGCTCTACGATATCAAACAGCAATCCCAGGAACGCATTCTGTGGAGAGAACAAGAACTGCATTCAGTTATTAATCAGTAATTTATGCTTAGGAGAAGAACTTAATATAAATTTAACAATAAGCTACTATAAGAATTTTTAGGTGATTTCTTTTATTCAGTCTCATCTGCAATGATCCAATCTAGTTGCAGAAGCAACATCATACAACTTAAGTAACCAGGTCATGGGAAGGATATCAAACACTTAATATGAACCTTTATAAAAAGGTTGCACATTTGAAAAGGTGACAAATAGACTATAAATTTCCCTAATTAATACCCACAGAGTTGTGTTAGATGGAATTAAAGAAGAGAGACAAAAGTGTAAATACTATATGGAATGAGGAAGATGATGGGCTCTAATGCAAAGTTGATTTCCCTATGCCTGGGGTACTGAGTTCAGATATGGTCACCATCATTGTATCTTCTGTCATGTTCTACTTAAGATGGTCTCACCGATGGTCTTGGGATGTGTTTTTGAGGTTTCTTGGATCCAAGTTTTTTTAGGGCCTTATAGAATTTTTCCTGTTCCTTAGACAAAAATAGATCTTTTCCACCTAAGTAAAGGGAAAGAATTTTGTTGTTCAGCTGAAGTTTAAGCTAAATAAATACAAGCAAATTTCTGTAAAAAAGGGTAAGTTACAGCTGTCCTGAGTGGGACCTAAGAGAGCACAGAGACAAACTGTGTCTTCACCATTTCTCCTTTTCCCCTTGATCTTTGAAATGATGTACTGGAAAGAGTTGATCTGGGTTTGCTCATGAAAGTCTAGTCTAGGCAGTGTTGCCAAGTCAGTTCCCTCAAGTGAGAGAGCCTTTCTGAAGTTTTACAAATCTATTTCATAGTTTAAAAATGACATAAGATGCATCAAGGAGTGAAATATTTTCTAGTTTTGGGGAAGGTAGAAACTGAAGTGTGTTGCTGGACTAGCAGGTAAATGGAGGATGATGGGACCCAGTTCTACAGGGGGTTCCTGACAATGAATTTCTTATTCCCATCTACACCCCTGGTATTACTTATCCCCATCTACACCCCCTGCAGTACTTAGCAATCCCTTTGAACCCAGGATTCAGAAGCCACTCATCAGTCATAAAGGGACTGAGTGATCAGCACTTTGTACAACAAACACATAACAACGTTCACTGGGGCATCTGCAATTTCAGTCACTCTGGCAAGACTTCTGAAAATTCCATTTGACTTCTCTGTGTGGAATCAGAAGGAAATTCCTGTGAAGCAGCAAAGGAATGAAAGAGAAAAATTGAAAAAGAAAAAAATGCCTCTCACAGATATACTAAGAAAAAAGTGTTACATCCACATATACTTCCAGTAAGTTCAGGCTCATAAACTACTTAACTACTGTTGTTTCTATCTGTTTGAATTATTGTAACTGGAACTTTGCTAGAAAAGGAAATTCTTAGAGTGAAGTTGAACTCTTGTTTCTCAACCCCCACATATCCTTTCCCTGTTCAAATGCAGAGAGCAGAAGAATTTCTTGTGGGTTGTGTTGCTATCTCTCTCTACCCAGAGCAGTAATGCTCTGACACTTGTTGTATGAATCAGGTTATGGAAATAAAAAAGTGTTTTGTAACACACAGATAATATAGAATTGCAAAAAATAATGTTTCACCATTGTTTCTGCCTGTCAAAACTTCCTACCAAAAATTCTCTGTCAGCTTTCTGCCACAAGTTCTCACCAGAGCTTCCTACTGGAGTTTTCTTGACAAAAGATCCTGATATTGTTTATGGTTATCATATCTCTTCCAACACCTGAATAGGGCTACGTGGCAAGAAACCACGTACAATCTCCTTTGAACACTATAAAAGTTGAGGAAAAATTTTGGAAAATGAGAGAGAGGAAAGGGAGAGATACCTGGTTACTGTAGCTGAGAATCTCTCCCCACCTCCCCTCACCTTTTCTCTGCCACTGCCTGCTGCCTGCCTGCCACGGGAGCCTGGCACTCTGCCAGCCTGGAGAGAACTGAGACCCACCGTGCTAACATGTGTGAGTTACATCTTATCCTTCCGCTTTACCATATTTCTGAGGGTCTAAAGGTGCTGCTAAATGGGACCCTACACGGCCTGGGACACGGCTCAAGTGAGCATCAAAACCACACATCCTGCATTCCAGAGAACTAAAGCTGTTAAGACCCCCGAAGCTAAAGAGATAACATCGAAAAGCGGCAGAGACGGAGACAAAAAAAAAAGGCAGAAATTGCTTCTTCTTCCCTCCCCCCCCAAACACACCAGCTCGACAGAAAGGTGGTTTTGGTGGTCTCTTTTCTCTGCTTCTAGAAGTAATCTTAGCGTTTTCCAAACTTTTCTTATTTTTTCCACTTTCTCTTTGGATCTCTTAGCAATTAATAAAATCAGGTTTTGGTATCAACACATAACTTGTGTGAGTTCTATTTTTTCTCAAGGGAGTATTTTAATCTGAAGTTCTTTGTGCAATATTTAAGCAGACTGAAACAGGTTCCTGTAGAGATTCTGTTTTCCAAACATGAACCTTGAAATTGTAAACCTCCTGCAGAGGTCTGCTTGTTTTTGAATTAGTACGATGTTTAGTTTTTTTAAGTCTTCCAAGTGGAATAATTTACTCAGGTTTTCTTTATATTCTGGATACTTTAAACATCTAAATTAATCAGGACAGAACTCAACCTGTTTCTGGCTTCTCACTTCCAAAGCTACTCACTCCTTCCTCCTCCTCCTCCTCTACTTAGAACAAATGAAGGACTTGGTAGGAAAATAGAATTTACAGGTAAATTGCTAAAAGCCTTGAGGAAAAGGAGACTCTTGTTTCCAAAACTTGGTTTAAAATGTTATGTCAAACCAGCATTCACTAAAACTAATTGGGATTACAGGAGACCCTGAGTTAGCTCCAGGAGTACTTATCTTTTTCCTTTGTTGGTTAAAATTGTTGATAACCACTCCAACAAAAAGGTTCAGCATGAAGAAAGATCCAAAAATAATGAAAACCACAAAGTATATGTACATGTGTAAGCGTGCTTCAAACTTTGGCTGTTCATCGATCTGTTAAAAAAACAGTCAAACCAGAATATATTATTGGTAAAAATGAGATGATCACAGCTTTACCATTTCCAATTTATAATAACAGATCATTTTATTGTCATGAAAGATAAATTATTTCCACCCATTTAAATCTTTATCTGGATGTACAAGTAGAACCACTGTCTTGGTCTATCTTGTTACTGATTGTAAAGATTATGACAATCAGAGCTATAGAGACAAATCCAGCTTTAGCAAATTTTTAAGAACAAATAGTGAGTTCCAGTCAGAAGGGATCCTGTGAATGCCCTGATTAAAAACAACAGCTCAGACTAAACATGATGGTGACCAGCCATCCTCTTGAATGCTGCCTCAGACAAGAGGCAATTCTAAAGCCCCAGCTCACTCAGATCAGCCCTACAAGGAAATGTTCAATCCTGTTGATCAGCAGCTATTTCACTACAGTCAAGAGCACACAGGCTGAATGAGTGAGAAAAATGTAAATTCAGAAAAGTTAAAACGCACTGTCCTGGGAAGAGAGTGAGGAACAGCACAGGCAGATGGGGAAGAAATAGGGAGGATGTCAAACATAGGGAAGAGAAACTCCTGAAATAACTGCTCTAGCTGCACGCTGTTTCAATTCTCCTGTACGTGTTTAAAAAGAAAGAAAATTTACAAATTCCCTTCAAGACCTTCCGTATTCTGTTTCCAAAAGAGATTTGCACAAAGCTTGCAACACCTTCCCCTCTGCATTCCTGACATAGCAGGCTTTTGTGTGGTGTCACTCTGCTTTGACTTGTTTCTTCTGTCTAATTTCCAGATTTTTGTTTCTCCAAGGGCTATTGTTTCACCGTGCAGTTTGATGCATGCAACCACTTGTATTTTTGCTTTGATGTTGCAAATAAAGATGAAAAAGTAATTGCATGGATGGAAAAGGGAAGAAGAAAAGGGAAAAGAACTAAAACCTCATTGTAGTGACATACCTCACGTGAATCCACTGCTGCATACATAATCTCCATCCAACCTTTAAAAGTTGCCTGAAGAAAATAATAGAATCATAGAATCAGCCAGGTTGGAAAGGACCTCTGAGATCATCAAGTCCAATCCTTGATCCACTACCACCACAGTTACTCGACTATAGCACTAAGTGCCATATCCAGTCTCATCTTCAAAACCTACAGGGATGGTGAATCCACCACTTCCCTGGGCCACCCCTTCCAATGCCTGATTACCCCCTCCGTAAAGAATTTCTTCCTAACATCTAACCTAAACTTCCCCCGGCAGAGCTTAAGACTGAGCCCCCTTGTCTTAGTTGCCTGGGAGAAGAGACCAACCCCCACCTGGCTACAACCTCCTCTCAGGTAGTTGTAGAGAGTGATGAGGTCTCCCCTGAGCCTCCTGTTCTCCAGACTAAACAACCCCAGCTCCCTCAGCCTCTCCTCATAGGACTTGTGTTCGAGTCCCTTCACCAGCCTGGTTGCTTTTCTCTGGACCTGCTCCAGCACCTCAATATCCTTCCTGAGAAAGAAATCAGGTACAGCTAGTATAAAAGTGTTAATAGTTGTGGGAAAATGAGCAATGTGCTATTGAAAATGTGCATCACTTCTAAAGATCTGCTTGGAAGTATCACTGGAGTTTAGTAAAGAGAAAAAAAATTTCTTGAAAAGAAAACAAAAAAAAGGCATGACTCATGTGAAATGCGTGTTCATGTTAACTCTCGTTAAATTCAAAATTTTTGAAAAAAAATCAATAAAGTTTTCAGCTTAACTTGCAAATTTAATATAGAAGGGTAAAAACAATTTCTAAGAAAACAGAAGACAATTCCATCCTGCAATTTTTAGCAACTTTGCAGAATCATAGAATACTTTGGAGGATCCAGGACATAGAACTTCATCTAAAAAAGATACAGGGATAACAGCCAATTTAAAAATTGCCTTTCTCTCCTTTGTTGTGGTTTTAGGGAGCTCATTAAATTAGTATCCCAATCCTTCATGACTTCTACAGGAAAAGAAAATACTGTGCCCTGATTTTCTTTCACATCCACTTTGAACTAGACAAAATGAGAATAACTTTAAATTCAGTAACCTGCAGAAAATGTCAAGCTTAGAGTGTTAATCAAAATTAAAACAAAACTGAAAAGCCATGAAATGGAGTTCTTGATTTTAAC